GCACGGTTTCAGTCTAATTAATTACATGAAAATTGTGGAAATGAAAGGCTTAACGAATGTCATCAAATTCGATCATCAGGGTTTCCGCACCGATTTCGTCTTAGACATTGTCGAATTAAGTCAGAGTGGTATACGCAAAATTGGAAATTGGAATTCCACATCGCCAGAGGGCATTAATTTCACTCGCACCTTTAGTCAGAAACAGCAGGAAATTGAGGCGAATTTAAAAAATAAAACTCTTATAGTAACAACCATTTTGGTAAGTCAATCATATTCGACGATCCTTGATTTTCGATTTCAATTCAATGCCATTACTTAACAGAGTAATCCGTATTGCATGCACAAAGAGTCTGTCATATCATTAAGTGGCAATGATCAGTTTGAGGGTTACGCGGTTGATCTGATTCATGAGATATCCAAATCTTTGGGTTTTCATTATAAAATTCAGTTGGTGCCCGATGGCAGTTACGGGAGCTACAACAAACTAAATGGGTAGAAACGTTTCATTGAACTCAATTCAATTATTTTTATCATATCTTTGATTCCCTTTGATATATGTAGCGAATGGAATGGCATGATCCGGGAACTGTTGGAACAGAGAGCCGATTTAGCTATAGCCGATTTGACAATAACATTTGAGAGGGAGCAAGCTGTTGATTTTACTACGCCTTTCATGAATTTGGGAGTTTCGATTCTCTATAGGAAGCCGGTGAAGCAACCGCCTAATTTATTCTCATTTCTCTCGCCGCTCTCTCTGGATGTTTGGATTTATATGGCGACTGCTTATCTCGGCGTATCGGTTTTATTATTTATATTAGCCAAGTAAACATTATTTCGTTCAATTACGTTAACATATATGTAATCAGCTTTTTCTATTTATAAAGATTTACACCTTACGAATGGCCAGCGTACACCGATCCCAATGGGGAAAAAGTTGAAAATCAATTTACTTTACTTAACTGCATGTGGTTTGCCATTGGCTCCCTAATGCAACAAGGTTGCGATTTTCTCCCAAAGTAATATCACAGAACACTTTTTCCGATATATAAACAAATACCTAAACATTTTTCTTTCTTTTGAAAACCAAAAAAATTACTTAGAGCCTTATCAACACGTATGGTGGCCGGCATGTGGTGGTTTTTCACATTAATTATGATTTCTTCGTACACTGCAAACTTGGCTGCTTTCCTTACCGTCGAGCGTATGGACTCTCCGATCGAAGGCGCAGAAGACTTAGCTAAACAAACTAGAATAAAATACGGGGCTTTGAAAGGGGGCAGCACAGCGGCCTTTTTTAGGGTAACATTTTGTCTGTGTATTAAAGATCTTTTAAAAGGAAAGTTCGTAAACTTGTCTTCCAGGATTCGAAAATTTCCACTTACCAACGCATGTGGTCGTTTATGGAGTCGGCCAGGCCATCGGTGTTTACCTCGAGCAATGGTGAAGGAGTGGAAAGAGTAGCGAAAGGGAAAGGTAGCTTTGAATGAATAATAGGAATGATTTTAGGGAGAATTAAATTTTTTTCTTTTTTTTTTTTTTTGCCTTCACACACTTTTGCTTCATTTTTTCTCAATTACTTATATTTTCCATTTGGTTTTCTATTACGATTTTTTTCTAGGAAATTACGCCTTTCTAATGGAATCGACCTCAATCGAGTACGTTACTGAACGTAATTGCGAATTAACTCAAGTTGGCGGTATGCTGGACACTAAGAGTTACGGTATTGCCACCCCACCGAGTAAGTAATCGAAAAAAATTGAAATCTCTCTTCAACATGATAAAGTCTTCTTTCTCCATAATTAGACCACTTTATGCCAGCTAACCACCAGCTATCCATTTTGTAGTTTAACTTAACTTTTTTACTCTTCAACAAATAAAAACGAAACAAATTTCATTTAAATATTTTTGTTTAATTTTTGTATTTTTAGATTCGCCTTATCGCACTGCGATAAATAGCGTAATTTTGAAGCTTCAAGAGGAGGGCAAATTGCATATACTAAAAACGAAATGGTGGAAAGAGAAACGCGGCGGTGGAAAATGCCGTGTAGAGACTTCGAAATCTTCATCAGCCGCCAATGAATTGGGCTTAGCGAATGTAGGCGGTGTATTCGTAGTCCTTATGGGCGGCATGGGTGTGGCTTGTGTTATTGCTGTCTGCGAATTTGTGTGGAAATCCAGAAAAGTTGCCGTCGAAGAACGTTTGAGTGCCATTTTACAGGAATAGATAAAAGCAAAAAAAAGCCGCAACAAGCACGCAATGAATAATAAATTTCAATACTAAATATAGGAAAATTTCAGATATACAAAAGATCAAAACAAAACACATAAATGGAACAATATCAAAAAAAAAAACAAAAAAAAAATACAAAACAAACAAAAAAAAAAACCGAAAAGAAACAAACATTCACATACAACATAAACGCAAAAGAAAAAAGTAACCCATTAGTAGAAAGTAAGAATGAAAAAAATATATTTCTCTTTACATGATTAATGCGCCTGGACTTTTAATAAAAATCAACACAAATGAGATAAGGACAATTCGGAACATTTAGCACTGAATTGAAGGTGTACGTTCTGAACCGACTAATTTCAGCTTTCAAGATGAATTCCAAAAAGGATCCATCCGATCCGGAAAACCGATTTGTAAAAGCTTTTAAAAAGCTTTTCGTTAAGTGCGACTGCGTGCAATCAGGGCAACCGACGCTGCCTTTTCACTGCTCTTTGTTGCTTTATTGTCTTAGACTAAGTTATAGAAATTACTTGTTTTAAGAGTTTCGTTACCCACTAAGCAAGCCAAGTTGACAAAGTTATCCTTGGACATTAAACTAAAGAGTATTTATTCCAAGTTTGAATTTTTCCCTTTGATTTTCACTGCTTACACTATTTCGATAATTGACGGGCGTAAATTCAAAATTCATACATCTTTTCAAACCATGCCGTTTCGTTTGGATTGAACAATAACAACAACAACAAAAACAAAAACAACGAGGACAATTGTTTTAAATCTGTTTTAAACAACGAAAAATAAAACACCTGCAATTGCTATTGAATCTATCAATTATTTTGTCGAAAATTCATAACGGTACGAACTCTCTTGGCTTTAGCCGAATTGTGAACAATCACCGATTATTTCAAATGTAGTCAAGTCAGTGTACCCAGTCAGATTTGAACTTCGATTGATTTTTTTAATGATAAGGCGAACACAAAGCTTAGAGCACAGAATGGAACACAATCGAGTCGCTTAGTGTTAGTCAGTTCATAATAATAAGTTCTTATAGGGAAGATTGAGTATAAGATGGCAAAGCTATAAAGTTCAAATATACAAATAGATTGCAAAGAAAAAAAGGAAGGAGAGAGAAATTAAAAATAGGTAATGGGCTTCCCGATAAACTAGTGTGTAGCTAAGCATTTTCAATACAAATCAAAGTAGCTGAAAAAAAAAAAAGAAAGACAGAGAATACTCGATTCGAAGCGAACCTTTTCAAAGTCTTCAGAAACACGAAACAATATTGAATGCAAGATAATACATAAATAGAAAACAATAATGAGACCACTACGTACCGTACAAACTTCCTTTAATATGTAAATTACCAAAGATGTTGCCAAGAAATTTTTCGGAATTTTAATTTAGAAATATATGTGGAGTTCTGCGAACATATTGGAGAACTTTTTTTAGTGATTTGACTACAGACAAATAAATCCCACAAAAATAGTTTATGGTCTTCTTTAGGCGTATGTTTAAGTTTTAATGAGGAATGAGTGCCAATGGATATTAACCAGTTAATTATATATAACGAATATATATGCCATAATCCGTCCATCCATCCTTGTCGAATTAATGTGTATTTGCCATAATAAGGTGTTTTAGAAACCTCTTTTCACTACAATTCAATTTTATTTTACACATACGTTACACAAGCGTACGAGAATGGCGCTGAGGAGGTCGACACAAACGCCGTAAAAAACTTAGATACTTGCTTAACTTCCGTTAGATTCTCACTTAACCTGTTACGATAACTCCAGATTTTCTTTGACTCTGGACATTTAGAAAGTGTTAAGGGTTGCATACGGGCTTCACACTTAATATAATACTCTGGCTTTGTACAGCCAGACCCCAGTGCCCCAAATAAATATTGAATTCCTGATTACTCTCTTTGATGCTTTCACCTTTCAACTGAGTTTACGTGTTTGTAATACATCAAATTTAATATCCCACCTGCTAACTTTAGGCACGTTTGTATTGTTGTACGCACACTGGTGCATATAATCTGGCTTTCATGTGAAACCGATTAACTTGATAAATTTTCACAGTTTTAGTTCAATTTGATTGTTGGCCACTTCAACATGCAGCTTATCGTTGCTTTATTCATTTTAACTTTAAAATTTATTTTCGGTTTAACGTCGGGCCAGTATAACGATTTCACCTCATTCCTGAATGCAAACGCAACATTGGGTATTGATTGAATTTAATTTATCGGAATAACAGCAACCCATTAATTATTTATCCATTTATTCATTTATTTAGCTGTTATTGTAGATCAAAGCTATATGCAACAAACAGGTGAAAACATTTTAGCTCATTTTCAAAAAATCCTCAACGATGCAGTGCATGAAAATTTAAAATACGGCGGCATTAACTTTAAATACTTTACATGGACCGGGATACGTTTAAAGAAAGGTAAGTCGGTGAATTTAGAAAATATTATAACCGTTCGCAGCTATAGCACAAAGAGTGCGATTTTCAACTAATTATCCATCGCAAGGAGATAATTACGGGTCGAAATCTTCGACAACCCTTGTGAAGTTATATAATTTCGATGGGGCAGGCGGCGTGCATGTTTTGTGTTATTCAGGGCATTCTGCAATTGGTCCTTTTCTGCCGTCGTGTTTGTGGATGAATCAAACACATTTTTAATATTGGTTTACTGCACTGATCGAAGACACGTATATTTAGGTCAGAAAATCTATTTTATTCGATGTTTGCAAAACATATGTCATATATTTATATACTTTATAAATACTATGCCCATAGCGGTTGCAAGGCAAATAATAGATTTATTGTATCGCTGTCGCTGATATATGGACATAATGGAACAATGAAGCGTATAAATCATTATTTACACAAGTCTGGAATTTTTGACATTCATTTGTCTTTTTGTATACTTTTGCAAGTTTTTTTTTTTAACTTTTACTTACAGATACTTTGGCTGCTATTACCATTATGGATTGCGACAATACATGGGAATTTTTTGAAGATATGAAAACTCCTAACGTCCTTGTTGTAGCTATAACGAACTCCGAATGCCCACGTTTGCCTATAAATCAGGCTTTAATGGTTATGTATACATGTTTTTCTATATGGACCACGTACATATATACATATATACATATATATTTATACTGTGCCCAAAAACTAAGACCAAGTCTCAGTGAGCGAGATCGGAATAGAAAAGATTTCAAAAAGAAAAAATTATATTCGTGTTATTTTTTGAACATATATACGTTACACTCAGCACGAAGTGTTTTCTGGAGTACTACATAGAAATACATAGAGAGAATGATCCCATATAAACAGAGAAAGTAAAGAGAAAACGTATTTTTGACAATTTTTTTGAGACAATAAAAAGGATAATACAACAACATATATCCAGGAAAATTATCCACCGTATATTTAAAAAGAGACACCTTGAAGCTGACAGGCGACCTAAAAAGGACCTGGAATATTTGAATGAAAAAAACATTTATTCGATGTTGCCATGAAAAAAATTCAATTTACCAGCAAAAAAAAATCGCAAACGTTTGTTAACAAACAAAATTTTAATTCATTACGTACTTTACCAACTATTGTCATTTGACGGATATTGTAAACACTTCGAATCAAAAGAATGACATACCGATTTTGGCTACAGCCACCTTTAAACTTTTGAAATATGATGACATTTTTTATTAGGATAAATAGCTTGTTATTGTTCTTTCTCATTAATCTGCAAACACAGGATCATAAAACTGCCATCCAACATTCATATATTCCTTTACATATTCCCTTCTCGAAGATGTTATGCGCGAACACGCTTTTCCTTTTGGTTCTGCCAAAAATAGAGCCGTATATTTTATACCCGTACCCGTTGCGAAATGACAGAATGAGAACGACAGTAAAATGGGAGAATTCATTATAAAAAGCAATCTCGCAATTCTTCTTCAATTTTGTAGCGGAGGCACTTTCGAATTGCTCTCAGGCTTATGCCAACTTTAGGGTACTCTTCAAGAAACTTCACTAACATAATTTCGTTTAGATATGCTTTCAAAACAAATAAATAAAGGATAGTTTGTAACGATATCTGTTCAATGACATTAAAAAGCGACATAACTTCCCACAATGGCAGTTTCAGGAAGAAGCCCGACATTTTCGGCAATGAATTTTGTCCTGCTCAAAGTATCTGTTAGCCAATAAAAAAAGAAAGACATATACTAACAAAAAAAATATACCACTAAATCCGATTTTATCAGAGGAGATTATCTTTGCAAGTCAAAATCTAGTTAACATAGGTTTATGCATTAAAAGGCAAATAGCTTTCGCATTCATATCTACCTGAGAATATGAATTAAAAATACTTACGCTTTTTCTCTTAATCTTTTTGGTTGCGCTAATCCATCTTAATAAAAAGCAAGCAGAAGCGATCTCCAAGGTAATAATTGAAATGAAGGAACTGGCACGACCCTCGTCCCCTCTGCTAAATACAGATAGGGCTTATATTTGACAACGACAGGCTCCATCTATAGTAAAACATTATGGCTGTCGATAATGTTATTTTTTCAATGCTCTTAGATACCTTATGTAGATCGGGGCCAGGTATTTCCTCAAATGATATTAGATGCAAAGGTGCAAAAGATTCTCAATTGGCAGACAGCAATTGTAATAATGGATCAGACGTTAATAAATGAAGGCGGCCATTTACAGGAATCTATTATGCATGAAAGCATTAAACGTAACATCGAACCGATATCTATCGTTTTGTATAGCATCGACGATCAGTTAAAAGGACAAAAGAAGCGATTGGCTATTCGAGAAATTCTTCAATTATTCGATAGCAGATCGCAGAACAAACAACAATTTATGATTTTTTCCAAATTTTATGAAGACATAATTGAAATCGCGGAAAATATGCAAATGTTTCATGTCGGCAATCAATGGTTATTTTTTATATTTGAAGATAAGCGAAAAAATTTTGATGTCACGTCGGTGACGCAAAATTTGGAAGAAGGCGCTAATATAGCTTTTGCGTTAAACGAAACTCGGAGCGAATGTAAGGTTAGTAGGGATTGATAGAATTCCATATACGTGTAGAAAGCATAAACACAACAGACTTAAAGCGCATCTTCAGAGAAACCAATTTCTCAAACTTTTAATTATTTTGATATTTCCAAATATAGAAATCATTAAATTGCACTCTAACTGAACTATCAACAGCCCTGGTTAGTGCCATATCTCAGATGACGTTGGAAGAGCAATCATTATATGGCGCTGTATCCGATGAAGAATGGGAGTATATACGTTACACGAAACAAGAGCAACAACATGAAATCTTAAATTATATGCGTAATTATTTGAAAGATCACATTTCGTGTTCTAGTTGTGCTAGATGGCGCGTTATCACCGCTTTGACTTGGGGCAAAAACCAAGAACATCAAAGTATTGTTCACACGATGGGTGAGTTTTGCAAGAACGGAGAATCGAGAGATTAAGGGCGCCCATTAATAAACTTCAATTTCATTAACGACTCTTTCACATATCGCTTCATCATCTTAAAATGAGAAAACATTACACATATATCTTAACTCTGAGAATAAACGCCTATCAAGAATATTGTCATATATAGGGAATTTATTCTCTCTTAAAATTGTTTAACTTGTCCGCTAATGGAAATATGATTCTATAACATGGGCAAAATAAGAGTTTCATAATTATCTGCTTCGTAAGTTTCGACAGAGGAACACTTCAAAAAAATCCATACAAATCTTCAAGACACAAGCGAAATGAATGAAAAGTCTTTACAGTTGGTTTTGTTAATTACATTGTTTTAACAAATTTCTTACAGATATTTCCGAAAATCGCAATAAAAACTTTGAATTCACAGATGTGGGTTATTGGTCACCTACCTCTGGTTTTGTTGCCCATGAATTATTGTTTCCCCATGTAGTGCACCATTTTCGTAACATTACTTTGGATATTGTTACCATACATGTAAGGCATTTACATAGTTGAAGAAGTTTATTTGAAACCTTAAGTCTAACTGTGCTCTCCATCGAAAGAATCCTCCTTGGCAAATTATAAAAAAGGATGCGAAAGGCACAATTATCGAGTATTCTGGCATTGTTATGGAAATCGTGAAGGAACTAAGCCGGATGTTAAATTTCACGTACAAACTGCACGATGCTAATATTTTAGAATATGATGGACACGAAAACGGAAGTGAAACGGTTACTACCAGAAAAAACTTTTTGTAATTAATATTTTGTATTTTCACAGACTTCAATGTCTCTTTCAGGATCGGTTAACTGGTGCTTTGACCTATTTTATACCATATCAGGTCGTCAGACTGGTTCAGGGAAATAAGGTGCGAAAAAATCGCAAGTCCCTTTACTAAATTATAACACATTTGATATTGCCTCTCTCTACACCTTTCGGTAGTTCTTTATGGCTGCCGTTGCCGCGACTATAAACGATCCAGATAAGAAAGCATTTAATTTCACAACACCAATTAGCATACAACGATATTCCTTCCTCACGCGTAAACCCGAAGAAGTCAGCCGAATATATTTATTTACAGCACCATTTACTTTAGAGGTACTCGATCAAACCTCATACAGAAAAATCAAATACAATCTCGCTCCGTGAAAACGTTTCAGACATGGATTTCATTAATCGCTGTAATATTTGTTACCGCACCGATCCTATATTTGGTAAATTGCTCAGTACCTACTTTACATTTGAAAGTGCAAGGGCTTTGCACTCTGAAAAGCTGCTTCTGGTATATATATGGCGGTCTATTGCAGCAAGGTTCATATTATTTGAAAACCTTACTATCAGACCAACTTATTGTCATATTTCCGAAATTCCAGGAGGCAAGTATTTACCGAAAGCCGACTCAGGCCGTTTGATAATTGGCGTTTGGTGGATTGTTGTAATAGTTCTAGTGACGACATATTGTGGTAACTTGGTGGCATTTCTAACATTTCCACGTTTCCAACCAGGTTTCGATTATCTTCATCAACTTTTCGTACACGGAGACTTCAAAGAAGAACTGGGTTTAAGAAACAATACATTTTTTGAGAATTATGCTGCGGTAAGTTCTTAGTATAGTTGTCGTTGTAAACGTAATAAAAATAGGTCCTTTACTCTACGGCAGAAAGACACCATTGCTAATGACTAAGTGGAATTAACATTTTCCTATAAAACGCTTGCCAACATTTGTTTGCGATCAATTTTCTCCGAAACATTCAATAAAAATTAGTTACGAATTTTCTAATATAATTTAGGGTAAGAAAGCTTGAGCCGATAGCCTGTGTTGCTAGTGCTCAATGTCTCTTTTTTTAGTCTAAGAATTCAATTCATTAGTCTAAAATTAAAATAATAATAATAATAATAATAATAAGAAAGCTTGACAATTAGAAACTCATAGCCAACTCTAATGACGGGAAGGACAGGCCGGATGTGAATAGTCGTTATTTCATTTACGAATTTGTTAATACCTTTAAAGTGTTGCAGATATTCAAAGACAGAATTTGAAAGGGAGAAGCGTTTAGGAAAGCAACAGTGTTCAGCAATATTCAATCGGTTTTCTTTCTTTAATAAATATAAGTTTATCACCATATGCACGCAGGTTTATGAGAACAACACCTTTTCTATTTCTTATATCCAAGTCGAAATTTAGCGCTTTCAGTTTTGAAGTCTTTTTAATTAAGAAAATGTGTAAATAAATCAAAAATCGTTTCTTCTTAGATATCGAGTCGATTAGATTTTCAAAAATACTTAAATCATGCTATCGTTTACAATAACTCTTTACAAGAAAATCTGGAGGCGGTAAAAATTGGCAGTCGTATCAACGTAGACTGGCGTATTAATCTTCAACTAATTATCCAAAATCATTTTGAGAAAGAAAAGGAATGCACCTTCTCAATGAGTAAAGAGAGCTTCCTGGATGAGCAAATTGGTTTAATCATACCAATCGGTAGTCCATATTTGGACTTAATAAATGCCCAAATATATCGTTTATATCAAATGGGTTTCATAGAACGATGGCATCAAACAAATTTGCCATCCATGGATAAATGCAATGCTAAAGGCGTATTAAGGCAAATAACAAATCATAAAGTAAACTTGGATGATATGCAAGGATGTTTTCTAGTGTTACTTACAGGTAACTTTTACATATTTCTGTGTGCGGCGACTCTTAATAATAATAAGCGTTTAGGTTTCATTGTAGCTGGGATAATGATATTGGGAGAATTCTGGCATTATCAGTGGCATCTCAAGCAAATAACAAGACGAAGACTCTTTTCTGAATAAAAGCGTAAATATTTTAAATCACCTTTTGGAGTGTTTCATATATATTTTTTGAAGTCAAAAATGCAACATAAAGATTACATACACCAAAGGTATCGTACTCCACTTATGAAGAATTTGCATTAGGGCCACGACGGCGACCAAATGCAGGCACAATGTTGACGAAACGCCGATTGTATTGTATGCGTCTTTTGGCACGACCAGTCTTCTTCTTTTTCTTTTCTTGCTTCTCTACCTTCGGGGTTTGACCTTTTACCTTGCCGGCACGTGCTAGAGACCCATGCACTTTACCACCTAACATCGGCAAAGTAATATCTAATTCGAATGATGATAGGGCTGTGACAGGGACTTCATCACTTAGAGCACTGCCTTCACAATTGAGAACGATTTCTTCGATATTAAAGCCATGAAGTTGGGCGATTTCATTCTACACCAATTTTTAAACAAACACAAATCGAGGTTATAAGATTATTTGATATCTTGTAGTATCATTGTCTAAATATAGTACCTTCACCGCGCCGATTGTTATATCTGGTCGAACCTCCAACGTTTCGATGTTTTCTAAACCACGCACGAATAACTGCATTGTGTAGGCTTCTGGAAAATTTAAACCCAAAAAGAACAAAGTTTATATCCATCTTTTAACTTTCTTAGAAATTCACGCTAATACACACGTGCACACTTGCACACACACTTTAGCACTTGCAAATTTTATCAACATTATCCTTTAATTTCTTGTAATACATAAATTTTTATAAAATTTCTCTAATTCACGTTTGCAAAAAAACCAATATTGTTAAAAGTATACTTAAAATTTACGAAAACTTGCATTTTTACCTTCTCACTTTGTCAGAATTTACCAAAAAAGAAAGATGGCTACCGAATGTCGAAAGCATGGCAATTCTTCGCAGATGAACTGACAGGGATGTTTATAGCGTACGATATATAAGTTTATGTGTTGGGCAGAAATACGTAATAATATTACAAACCGAATAGAGAATGATAATGAGCGATTTGTTAATACTTTTATATCGTACGATAAAAGCAAGTCACAAATCACATAGACAGGGATGTTTATGCGTTGAGGAGAAATATGCAATAATATAACAAACTGGATAGACAATAGAAACGGAGGAATTGCATTAAATTTAATTAGTTGCGTCGGTGAGGCAAATTGTGATTATGGGTGTGAGAATAAAGTAAATAAAGTATTAGAGTGTGAGAGAAATCAAACTGTCATTTCTGTTAAAGTGAGAGAAATTGAGCTGCCATTTCTTTTAAATGAGAATTATATTATACATTTATATTGGACATTAAGTTGGATTATATTCAATATTAATGCAATAAGTTAAAAAAAGGTCACTTTAATTTCAATTCGTTTTCCTTTTCTTAATTTACTTATTTATTCATTTATTATTATAGAAAAATTATAGTTATATAAATACAAGTGTTTATATTGTTTCCTTTGTTATAATTCTGTCACTAAAATATGCATTTGCGTTATAAATAATTCTATATATATAATATGTAGGTAATCCAAATAGACATATTTACAGATATTAATAATGATAAATGAATTTTTTTGTGTTTGTTAAATTTTACAAATTATAAATGTAAACAACTGTTACAACTTTCTTACACTAAATAACAATTTGTTAAGATATACAAAAACTTTCATTCCTAAATCAAATCGTAAACACATATACAGACAGTAAAATGAAAGATCTTTTAAGTGTAAAAGAAATTGATTTGTCTGAGAACGCAATCAGATTTTTAATAATAATCCAAACGGCATCAAATAAAATGGCTTAGCCATTCAGTTCTTCATTTTCATATATTTTTGTTTAGTTTAGTTGCTTTTACTTTCTTTTTTTTTTTTTTTTTTTTTTTTATTAATATTTTATTATATTTAAGGTAGTCAAACAATGCAATAATTTATCAATAAAATAAAATGTCTGTAACGGTGGTCCGTGTTTTTCCTTTTTATCGTCTTTTTTTGCTATCCCTAGCCTATCCCTAACATTTAAGGCTAATGCACAAAGTCATTGTTTAGAAAATGTTGTGGTTCCACTATAACACTTGTGTAATGAGGGCCATTAACGTTTTTAAAACTATCGGTGAAATTGTTCGATACAATATGTTGCTGTTGCTGTTGAATGTCCATTTGCTGCAAAGGCTGATTATGTTGATGCAGATGGGCTTGGTGTACTTGTTGTCCTTGGTGTTGCGACGGTGGCGTTAATTCAGCATTCGCAACATGTTGGTGCAAATGATGTTGTTGCTGTTGATGGTGGTGTTGATGAGAACTACTATCAGAGAAATAATTCAACTCGAAGCTATGACTTAGATCACTATAAGTTGTTTGCGGAGAGGTACCATTTAGTAGGGAGGCATTGCCAGTTGATAGTTGACGATCAGATTCTGAACTACTCGAGCAACTATTGGAATTGGCTGAGAAAGGTCTTATTAGCGATGCTGACGAAACGTCAACCGTGCCATCATAATAAAAATTATTATTACTGTAATAATTATTACTATTTGTTGTGTCTGGATATTGATGCAATATATCATGTTGCAGGGAACTGCTAGAGCTGGCCAATGAGTCATTTACTGGATATAGCTGAGTATAGCTTAGAGAATCCGTAGCCGTCGGATGTGCATCTACCAAATCTGGCAAAGGCCCCTGCTGCGCATGATTTTGATGGGGATGTGAAGACTGCTGCTGATGATGATGGTGATGATGATGGTGATGATGAGGCTGATGTGACGCCGTCTGATGTCCCTGAGAAATATGCGTATGATGCGCTTGTTGTTGTTGATGATGATGGTGCTGTTGCACTTGCTGCGTCATGTATCCATTATTATTGCTAGTGTCCGAATTGCTATTTGTACTTAAAGTTGGCGTTACTGCTGTGGGTAATCGTATGGCGGCCGTTGCTTCATAGCACGTATCCATTTTCGGACTTGTACTAAGAGCACTTGCTGAAAGATTAGGAGGAGCAGCCAACATACCGTTTCCATTGTTAACATTTCCTGCATTATTTGATATATTTGGAACGGCAGCTACATGTCCAGGGTGCAAGGCAGGCGTAGGTATGGGAACTGGCGTTGAAATCGGCTCACTTTTCACAATACCCATTTGTATCTCGTTAAGCACCAGATCTTTAGACTCTTGTTCACTGCGCGTATAATAAAAAGCAAGCGACATTTATTTGTTAGAAATTCCTGACTGAATTCATCCGAATAACAATCACTTTGAAAAACAAAACTTTTCATTCGAAAAGTATCTGAGCATAACTGTGATTATTGTTTGCAATAAACTTAAAATTCAACTCAATAGACAGCAAGTCTACGTTTATAGGATAACATCGCTCTACTTTTTTCAGAAAAACAAATTTTTTTTATACCTATACCTATCACACAAGCCCAAATTAATCGAAGGACACGCCTATAGTACTACTTACACTGGAAAAACCTCTATTTTTCAAAAGGAATAAAATAATGATTTTTGCCTCATTACTCATAAACTGTTTGAAAGTATATTCCATGGGCGACACTGTAGTACTTGTACAAAAATGACGAGAGTTGGTAGTACTTGCACAAATTTAATTACAAAAATTGACCAAACCTATTTACTTGATATTATAATATATAAAAAGTTCATTTCTTTTTCCAAAACCTTTATAACGCGCAGGAGCAAACTTCAAAAGCCTCATAAGGAATACAAACTCTTGGCCAGTTTCAGATTCGGAATGCACCTAAATATATCCGCCTGTCCATCTGTTTGCCTAAATATGTGATATCAGTGGTAAATATAATATGAAGGCATCGCCCACAAATTTGCAAAAGAGTTTGAAAACGACCCAAGCCGGTCGAAGGATGCGACCAAACGCTTATGCATCAAAAACTCATAACACCGTTTCCACGTTTTTTGCTCGCTACTCATAAACTGCAACAGGTGTACGATGCAGACGTCGTTATTTTAAAAAATGGAAAAAATCGGTTGTGCTTAAGCAAGAGAGGGTGTTGAAAATTATTCCCTACCTTCCTCACAAGAAGATATGTTATCCGTCTACAAATTTGTATCAATTCTTAAATAAATATAGTGAACTGCACAACGTGGAGGGATTAACCATTTTTTTGGTAGTACAATAAATTGAGTGTGAAACGAAAGGACTTGAAGAAGGCGACAAGCTAAGTATGCTAATCTCAAGCTAAATATCGCGGTCGTCACGAATTTATACGGTGGATGACGGATATAGATATAAAAGATTCGATCGCGGTCGAATATAATGTTCTTACTTGTTTTGTCCATTTTTTTAAAATTTGATTTTGAAAAAGAACTAAAGAACTGATTTTAAAAAGAACTAAGAGAGAGAGAGAGAGGGTCGGTCTAGGCTTGTCCTTTGACAGGTTTAGGTCCATTTCAAATTCTTTTGAAAATTTGTAGGCGATATCTTCATTTTTGCGAACGGGAGAACGTTTAACACAAATACTGCATAGGCCCACAGACAGACATGCGGACCGACGAAAAGGCAGTCATGTTTAGGTGCATTCCAAACTTGAAACTGGCCAAGAATTTATGGAGTTCTCAAAGCTTGTTTCTGCGCCTTATAAAGGGATTGAAAAACAAGTAAGAAAGTTACATTCAGTCGAACCTCAATTTTTTATACCCATTTCCGTTATCCTAAAAACGACAAACAAAATAAAAGAACAACATTTTCATGCGCTTTAATATGGAGTGCGTGCGTTTCATCCAAATTTGAAGTCGTTGGCTTTAGTTTTGCGATCAGGAGAAGGTGTACAATAGACTTTACAAAGCCGGACAGCCGGACAGACGATTGCTTAAATCGTTTTAGAATTTGATACTGATCAAGAATATATGTACTTTGTGGGGTCTCTGATGCTTCCTTCTGGACATTGCAAAAGTTTTGACAAAATGTACATACCCCTCCTCTTTCGGTGATGAGCGTAAAAATATTTAGTCTAGACTACTAAGCAGCTCCACTTTGCTACAATAGCCGCCTACCCATCTGTTATTTACCTATCCAATTGCCTAATAGTTATCTTGATTTATATAAATCCAATATATATATATATATGGATCATCTATATACTAAACTTTTATCTAGACTTTAGTATAAATGTGTATTAAATCGACATAAAAATCGCTATTCAAAACTAAATGAAACCTAAGCGAGCACTTTTTTAATATATATCAAGTTTAGATGGTGAATACATTGACATATGGATATATTCACCTTAAGTGGTAGATTTCTTACATATTATTTGGGTAACTTACCTTAAAACGTAATTCACGCTAACAATGCAAACTTGACGTGTCGAACGGCTGTTATGTACTAAAGTGGCATACGATTGGACCCACACCCAACCACCGCCTTTAGTTAAGAAACGATAATATTTGGTGGTTACTTGTCCTTTATACAAAACTGAAAGCAAAAAAAAAAAAAAATATATATATATATATGTTAAGAAATTTTATCAATAAAAAATTTTATAAAAGGATTAGAGGATTATGAGAGGATATAAGGTTTTAAAAGAAACTTTTTGCGTTACACTGAACTGACGTTTTAAAACAACAGACGCCATTCAAAATTGAATAACAATAACAATACACTTTCATATACTTTTTTACATATAGCTATGTATATATATATATATACATTGATGAAAATGCCTATTTGTGTAGACATTAAAGAATAAACAAACACACTTACGTATTTGATGAGAACAACGCATGGGCAGTATATCCTGAACGTGTATGTATTTATACAATGTCTTCTCAATAAGTTCTTGCGGCTCATAACCAGTTAGATGAGAGACTCTGTAAACAAATGGAAAACAAAACAAAGAAAATGCTTACAATTGTAGTCGTATATGAGAGCCGATGAGAGTGCGACATGAAATATAGGAATATTTTTTTAATAAAAACTTTAACTGAATGAATATCGTAGAGGAAGAAGAAAAAGAAGAAGTAGAAAAAAGTGCTAGCACAAGGTAAGCCTCAGAACAGAAATGAGTTAAAAGTTGCTTCTGATTGACTCCTTTTATTTTCATTATATATTTCAACTATGTAGGAAAGGTGCACACACAAACATAACACGCACACACACACACACACACAAAGCAATATGTTCGTCTGTTAGAGCTTAACATCCCTTTTCATTACAATCAACATTGCTTTTTATGTGAGTGTGATATAAGGGTAATTGTGCGTTCATTGTTGTTATGCTTACACGCTTGATGGGATGATGTTTAGGCTTTCTTTTCAAATTCTCTTTTATTCTTCCTTCTATATTCCTAGCCGATTTCCCCTCCTTTCTACGTTCACACAAACTCTTCAGTAAATAAAAAAAAAGCAAAAAAAAAAAAAAATAATAAAATACAAAATCAAAGTAGCAGACAATTTCAAGTGGGAAATGATTTGTTTGTCTTCTCTTCAATCTCTCGCATACACATGCACTCGCACTATACGTTGAGTATGCGTGTGTTTGTGCGTCTTTATAAGTATTTGTTCCGACAAAGTTCTATGGGGGAGTCTGCCTAGCTGGTTAACGAGTGGGAAGTGACAATTCGTGGGTGTACCGCAAGATGCCTGCATATATACATCTTTCATCGTGAAATTTTCAATTTTTTTTTTTTTTTTCCTTTAATGATTAGTTGATGTGTGAAGAGGGCTAATGCATAAAATGAGTACGAGAAATACTAGTGAAAGTATCTTCATATTAAATATTTGCTCAGCATTAAATTTCTATAACATAAAAATAATAGTAAAACTTCTGTTGTTCAATACTTTTGTAAATACGAAAAATAAACTAAATACAATTAAGGAAACGAAACGCATCCTGCGCTGCTCAACCGATTCAAAGCATTCAGTCCCTTTCTTCACTTTAATTTAAATTATTAGAAATAGACTTTAAAGCAATTGCGAGTAATATATAAAATAATTTTTGGAAAGCCTTCAGTTTTCTCGTCTTACTTTTATGGGTTATTTGGAACTAATTTTAAAAGAAATCTTTCAGTTTTTGGCGTTCTTTTTTTCCCTTCCAGTCGAGTATTTCCCCGAGAGCATCTCTCGTTCATTTCATTTCTACAAGACAATACATATTATCTTTCTGGTGCCGTTACCCAATTCAACTTTAATTTTTATGTTTTCTGTACGTTACAAAAAACCACAGTTAATGTAACTGAAACCGTTTCAAAATCGCTTGAGAATCGCATCAAAATATGATCCGATCCGAACTCATTTCAACTCGGACAGACAGACAAGCTTAGGTCGAATCAGATATTGGTCCCGAATATGTATCTCAAGTCTTCTTGGATGTTGCGTACATCTTAAAACTTAATACATGTTTCATACACCACGTGGTGTATGGTATAGGTTGTGTACGAAATCCACAATTAACGAAAAATGTTTTCAAGCTCTTAACTCAACAATGTTCAACAATGTCATTCAATTTGTTGGTCGAAAGTTTCATCATATTAAAAAGCAGAGCGTTTACAGATTATACCGTCCTGGATTTCTTGATAATCGCTTGGGTTCGATCAGAATGCATATTTGAAATCTAAAAGTTTCACATAATATTGGTTTGGTTGCCTGATTGTACTCTTCGTCGTCACAAATGAAAGTCGTATACTCGGATAAGTAAATAAAAACGTTAATCATATTTTCGGATTGATGAAATGTACTCAGGATAATTGCGCAGAATAATTGTTCCATGTACAAAACCATTATAAAATCAAATGAAAAACAAGTCAGAATGCTACAGTCGGCGAAGGTAAACCATTAGATACCCTATAGTATTTCTCTTAATTAACAATACACCAAAAATTATACATTATTTTTTGGTAAGTGCACAATGTTTATCAAGCCTCTCATATTGGGAGATGCCTAAGCCTCTCCTATTGGGATTTGCCATACAAGGCTTAATTTTTTTTTAGAACTCTTATATAAGTTAGCGTTGGAAAGATAGGCCTATGTGGCCCAAATTCGATAGGGTTACTTTTTATATCAAATTATTATTATGAAAGAATTTTCATCAAGAAGTATTGAAAAAAAGACCTTTTTACCATATAACGATTTCGTTCCCGTTGAAACTGTTGTATGGCAAGGGATTCAAGAAACTGCTCCCTCCAATCCAAAGTCTTCATTTTTGATTGCCGAAATACTATTACTATGCGATTTTCGTCGCGAATTTTTAAAAATTATAATAATTTTTCTTATCACGACTTAACAATGTAAGGCGTTATAGGCGGAGACGTTGAGAAAGTGCTCCGAACCGAACTGTTTTCAGTAGCGTTTGTCCTCGTCAAAGTACCAAATATCTGCGACCCGTAAGTTGAGCAAAATAAAACATGGAGAGACACCAGACGGGCAGACGGACAGGCAAACTTAAACTGGTTCGGATATGAATCAGAAAATGATTCTAAATCGATCGATATAATGAAAGTTCGTACCTTCCTCTCCTTCTAGGTATTATGTACGCCTTGCACCCTACGTGGCATAGAGTATAATGAGATATTTCGTTGGGCGACATATCTTGGTATCAAATAATAATATTCAAAATTGAGAATATTTGGTTACTCTTCGGCAAATACATACCTAGCATCGAAGAATATTAACTTCAAGTCCATCTCCGCTCGAAACATGAACATATTTTGATGCAATTTGACTTCTGTTATGGCCGAAGTAGGTAGGGAGTGACCAACTGCAACTAAGCCCATATTACGGATACAGCCGCCTTGGCCATCGCCATAATCCGGATATATGCGAACTTTTAAATAACCAGAACAATGAATAACCTAAAGCATATTGAATTTATTTACGCTCTGCTCAAGTTTGAAAAAAAAAAATAAACAAAATTATACCTTATAACCCGATGACGTTAGGCCGGCGTTACGTTTGGCAAGAACGCATTTCATGCGTAAAAAAAAAGTCTTCTCAATTTCAATTGTATTTGTAGATTGAACTAATTGCAAAGAATTAATAAATGCGTCCTAGAATCGCGTCGCAATCGCGCATGTTAAAGAGAAAAATATTTTATTACATTTTTATAAACGATGAGGAGAACATGGCAAAAGTCAATTTACCGGATTTTGGTACATGTGAGGATGCAGCGATAATATCGCATTCATTTCATCTTGATCGTAATTATGAATGTATTCATAGATTGAATTTCCAGTTAACTCAACCTGAGGAACAGAAAAAAAAAAAAAGAAAAGAAAATGAGAAAAAGTTAATTATTAGAAAAAAGGCGTCAAAGCGATGCTCCTTTTTTCCCTTTATATTGCAAAAAGGCCAAGAATATGTAAATTTTTTTCGCTCTTCACAAACGAAAAGAATCTCTTGTCGCAATTTGTTATCAAAAGAAAATTTATGCGCATAAATTTAAATTCAACAGTAAGAAGAAAACCTCTTAAGTTATGTTCTATTTTTTGTTTTTCTTCTTTTCTTTTGCATTTTTTCTTATTTGCTTCTTGACAATCTAGACGCTACTTACTTGACTTAAGCCCAAGTGAACTGAAGCAGTTTCTGAGATGTACATAATTTTTCCATCCGGTGCAACTACAAAAATGAAACCGTCCAACGTTTGCAATAAATGCGAACCCAATTCTTTAATCGTGATGCCTCTATGCAGGGCAGGCGAAGAGCCCCAAGCCTCCCCTAGCCCTAAAATGAAAGCGAAATAGAAAATATTCATAATAAGAAAATCATTATCTAAAAAGTATTGAGCTTTTAGTACTAATACTACTAGTAAATATCAATAATCAGTATATACAATGCAAATACATACATATACATATACATACATATATACACATAAGTTCCTTAAATGTGTAACATTTTTATAGAGTTTGGAAAAAAAAAAAACAAGGGTTTCGCCTCAATTACAGCCTTGGGAAAAGATATCCCACTGTGTAATAATTTCAAAATATTTTTACCAATTAAAATCTTCAACTCACCATGAATACGTATTTAAGTATACGCTAAGAGAGAGAGAGAGAGAGAGAGAGAGAGAGAGATAAGGAGAAAGGGAAAGGGAAAAAAAGAAAACGTACGTTTTTGAACAAAGCGGGCGCAATTTCCTATAACAGGCCAACCACCTACTCACGGCATACGTTTAGGTTTCGCAAACTGGGGGGAAAAAACAAAGCGACGCAAAAACAGTTAAGTGGGAAACGACATTTTTTTTTTTGTTTTTTATATTTAATAAAGTCAGCAGACTGACATCCTGCCTACAAGGCAACCGACATAATAAACGACCAGCAATTTACACATATTTCCTTATGTCTTTTATTATGAAAATAATTATATCAATAGGCGAAAATACAAGACAATGCACCACCCCTTTCTTTTTACCTCTGCGAGATTAACAAAGCTGAGGTAAGCAGTTTTTGTTGTATTGTTCTGTCATCTCTGTTTTCTCTCTTACAAAGAGACTTTAGTATCAAATAACTAAATATGTAAAACATTTCGAATTTGTATAACGGGGACTGTTCCTCCTCCTCGCCTCTTACCTTCTTTTCTAATATACGTAAAAAGTATACTTAAAGAGGAAAAAATGCCCAATAAATAGATGGGCAGCGGGACAGTAAGTACATGATGGTCAGTGGTTGAGGAAGAGACTAACCTTCGCAGAGCTTATTAATGCGATGGTCTGGCACCCATATACACGAAAATTAACGCCGGACATATTTATAACACTGCCAACGTTATATGGAATGCATTCATCGAACTCATATGTGAATGTCCATTTCACCAAGAACTCATTCTTCTATTCAAAAAAGTAAATAGCATTTGAGATCGCTTCAGAAGGAAGATGATGCTAATGACGGCGACACACATATGTAGAAGATGATTAAGAAGACAAGATCTGATCATTTTCGAGTATCTTCCATTTAGATGACCTTATGCAGGTAAAGTCTGTTTTAACACAATAACGAGAAGCCGCGTATAGTGTTGGGAGTACAAATTAGTTCGGTCCGATTCGGTAGGAGATAATGTACATAGTGCTTTAAGCTCTAGACGACTGTAAAATTTATCACATTAAAGAGAGTACAATACGTAGTGGCTTTTTGGAGCTTTGAATAGGTGTAGTTTTGTGCCAAAAAAAAAATGAAATTTTCTGGAAAATTTTACTTTTCCCGCCTAGTTTAAAGGATAACGCGGCGCGAGTGACGAACAGTGGATGCGCTACAATATCCAAAGCCTAAATGATCATGATAGAGAGGATGCGGTCCAATCCCTTCGATAATAGGGCCGAATGCGCTTGATGGCCCCGCTTGAGGGGATTTTTTAAAGTACGTTCCAACCAAATGAAACCGTCACTAAAGAGTACTGCAATCACAATAATTGATGCAACTGCGATAAAAAGTTGAACGTGATATACAAAACTCGCTCAAGAAATGTTTGCTGTTCTAACCTGAAATGTCCTAAGCGATCTCATTGTAAACAGCAGATGTTACTCCTATCAGCTAACGCAGTTTTCAACAGACGACTTATTGTTTGTTCGACTTCTGCTGCGATTCTTATGACGACGCTCACAAGCTAATTCCTTTATGATAACCTTAAAAGCCAAGACTTTTTTCGAGATGAAAGTGGAAAATTGGCTGAAAGATGGGAAAAAGCCGTAGGTATCGATGGACGATACTTAAATTAAAATGCTTTGTACCAGTGTCTCTGAATAACGCTTTATGGTTACAAGAAAAAACCCTCCAACGATTTAATGGTCTTTGAGAGAAAGAGAGAGAGAGAGAGAGAGAGAGAGAGAGAGAGAGAGAGAGAGAAGAGATTTGTTCTTCTGCAGAAAACGATCTGAAGAAAATGCGAAAATGGTGGCAACAGACACTTGTAACTTTTCGAAGAAATACGGTTGCTTTGGATAACAAGAGTGCAACGTTCTCTCCAAACAAGCTGAATGTAACTTTTTTGCTAGTTTCAGAATGCAGATCTTTTGTGCCTTCCTCCGTGGGCAACGCGTTTAATGCAAGTCTAAGCTGCACATAACGAATAAAATTAATATTGAACAGCCTTTGTTCAAGGCATTGCCTTTACGGTACTATTATTACCTTTTCTTTCTTTGCAAATATTTCGCTACTAATGAAATAACATGAAAGAAAAAAACGGAAAGGATAGGAAAGAATTCAAGACATCTTTGTTGTTGCGTATGTTTTTCTTTTTTTTTTTTTTATTTATTTATTATTTGTGCACTAACAATGTCCTGCTGGGAATCGCAGCGTGAGTTATACAACGAATCTAACGAGCGTACAATCGTAATGCCATCTAAACCATTACAGATCATTTGACATAGCCGCAGGAAATTAACGCTTGATATCAACAACGTGTTGTTAGAAGGACATGTGACTTTGATTCTCACACGTCACGAAGGGAGGACGACAAGTAAATAAACGAAATTCGCAAAGAAAACAAACGAAAAAACAAAGAAAAACAAATGAAATAAAGGGCATGAGTCCAAACGCGTGACATAGTCTAAAAGAAAGCGAGAGCAATATCATTAATTGTTTTTTTTTTATCAAAACGTAAAACAAAACTCATCAAACACTAGTAATAATAGTAATAACCGCATAAAAAACAACAACAACAACAACAACAAGAGTATTCCGCCTGTCAAACATCCTTCAGGTATTCGAAGACTTGAAAGGGGCAAAATTTTTGTCGTTTGTCTTGCTCGTGGCAAGCGACCACTTACTTCCATCAAATCGATTTAAGAAAAACTCGACAATTTGAAAAGTCGTATGCTTTCGCAATATTGCTGTCTGTGCGTGTAACACACCACACTTGTTACTGCAAAGCATTTAAAAAAAAGTTTCCCTTTACGAGGAAAAAAACTCATAGTTCTCTTAAAGCACCGTCTAATATATAAAACACTTACACTTGAACTCTATGCAAATATATAGTAAGCAAAGTGACTCGTTCCGACCGAAGAAAACTTACCTTCTGGAAATACTTGGCGCATTTTCAAATAAGAGGTTGTCAACCGTATTACTGAAGCTTTATCCAATTGTGATGTAGTCGCACTTGGTAGTGGCAGTAATTTGGCCAATTCGAAAAATTCCGCATTTTCCTTTTCACGTCTGGTACGAGCGGCATTTTTACTTTTCTCCTTCATCGCAAAACTTTTCGCTAAGCCTAAAACGAATACCGAGACAAAAATATGCATTTAACGATACAAATCGAAGATAGCGAAAAAATAAAACAAAACAAATACATATAAACAAGAACAAACACAGAGATAGATAGATATATAGAAGATAAACACATGAGAGATACATATTTGTAATTGTTAAAATAGAACGCACCCAGTTTATGTTCATTGCGATTGCGTACACTTTTCCGCCTATACGTCATAGTTAAAATGTATTCTCGTTCGAATATATTCAAAATAACATTAAAATGCGATGTTTACTGTATGATCACCTGTTTTAAACTAATTCCAAAAATTTTTCCAATTTTGAAATCTTTCTATATATTTCCCTTCCTTCCTCTCTTCCAATTTCTTAATATACAAAGCTATTGTGCAAATCTTTTTTTTTTTTTTATTTATATATGAGGCATGAAGCATTTCTTGCTATTGGTTCTGCCAGTGCAAAGCATCCATTTTACTTTCACGATCTTATTGACTACCTGCGTTAGCATACAAAATAAACTCTAGTCAAGGAACAGTGTTCAACCAGACATTATTGTTGTTGGGTTTTGTCAAAATTTTTGGCTTTTTTTTTTTTGCATTGTAAATTTAGGTAGACAAATATGTCCGCACAAGATTATTCTTATTGTGCATTCAGTCAGTCAGTCATTCATTCATTCATTTATTCATTCATTCATTCATGTATTTATTCGTATCATTAATTTATCAGCAGTGTTTTCATTATGGACGTTTTGTTGTCCATGCAAAAATTTCTTATTATTTTCGTACACGGTTCCGCCATCAAGACCTGAGGATTTCATCTATTCATAACACAACATTTCATACCGCAATACATGCATGCAGGACTCTTGACTTATATATATAATTCTTACTTGGATATTTTTTGTACTTTTCAACACAAATAAGAATATTTATTGACTTTAGCATTGTACATAGAGATGCATACACACACACACACACACACAAACACACATTTAGATGAGTAGATGATTTTTCTTTTTAAGTTTTTGCACTTATTTTATATATATGTACTCAACGTTCGAGTTTATATTGATTTTTTTTTTTTTTTTTTTTTATAAAGATACAAATAAGTGCATATCTATAAATTTTTAAAACACACAACGTTCGCAGTTAGTTTACATCTATTCTTCATTTTCCAATTGTTTGGATTTTCCAGCAACAAGTCATATTTTCATTGATAAAAATAATCCGTACGTGATTTTAGTAAAATTTTTGCAAAAATTTCATGTATTCCTATACATTATTCTCTCATGCACATATTCGAGCATATATATATGTATATTTCGATATATTATATGTAGGCATAGACTCGGACTACTGGTGTCATTTTGATGTGTATTATGTTCCATTAAAATACACATTTATATATGTGTATGTGTATAGCTTAATATTTATTTACCATTATATAGTCATTTCTGTATAAATGTTGGCGACAACTATGTTCGTAGGTATATGAAAATATGTTAATAAAATCAATGCAAATTTTTCTCATAAAAATCATGTTTAAATCCTTCCTTCCTTCCTTTGACATTTTTCCATCCAAAAGGCGAACTTTACATACATATTGTTATACACCCCAATGGCTGGATACGTGGCAAACAATACCATTGAGAACAAATCGAAATGAATTTGTTTTCATTTGAAACGTTCATGTGATAGAAAAGCTAGAACTGTTTGTTCCCCTTTTTCTACAAATTGAGCGAAATTAAAAAAATTTCTTTATTAATTCACGAACAGAGGAGTTTAGTTACAACAGTAATTCAGTTAAGTTAAAGAATTAGAAAAAAATACTTAACTAACTTTTTAACTGAATTATTATCAATTAAAGATTTAGGAACAACAAATGAAAACAATTTCGTGAGGTCAGGTCATTCCAAATAAAAATTAGACCATAATTAAAATCAAAATTTAAGTATAACTTGTCTGTATGTATAGGCAGGAGCTTTCAAGCTTTGCGACGAGACCCTCAATCGCATTCGGCAAAAGGTTCACCCAACTGCAGCGACGAAAGTGTGTCCAAAACTCTCGAAATCTTTGAAAGTCGACGTAATACAGGCTGTGTTATAGAGGGCAAGTGCTCTATAGATGTGACATAAAAGACATTTACCCACCAATTAAGCAAATCACCCACCCGCCTTGAAGATACCTGCAAACCGCACAGCATACTATCGCGATATACATGCTTAGGTCTGCATTTCAAGACGAACCTTCGCAGACACTACTTCCTCTATCTCTAGCTATAAACGTCTCTGAACACTACCGTGCCCGCAAGTATGTAGTACGTCCCCTGAATAACTGGTCTTAAAAAACAAAAGCCGTTCCTTAAATGCCCTATATGGCCTTCCTTAATACAACCTCTCACCTAAGATATCAAGAGTTCGATTTTGCTGATATATAAAGGATAACTTTTTTGAAGAAATCTTATCCACATTTAACATATGTTGCATTAAGTCACTTAGAATATACTCTCGCTTTAAGTTTTATATTTTGCACAAAGTCCCATCCTCCATCCCGTCCAAAATTTCTATTCTATTTCTATATTTTCCTCAATTTTTTTTTGTTTTTTTTTTATATAACGAATGAAAATAAATAAATAAATAGTAAAGAAGTAAGAAATTTACATTTGATGGTGACCGAATCTATAATACCCATCACCGTTATTCTAAAAAAGACTAAAAAAAAGGAAGAGACGAAATTTTCATATACTGTAATATTGGGCGGATGCGTCTGATTTCTTCTATTTTTAGAATAAAAGTTAAAATTTATATGGTGTATGTGTTCCACGTTAGGAATAAGATAAATGTGGACGTTGTCCTTTGGAAAATGTGGATCATTTTTGAATTCTTTTGCAAATTTGCGGACGATACCATTGTGGCAGTTGAGCAGACCGACATATGGACATGCCTAGGTGCATTCCGAGTTTGAAACTGGCCAAGGACTTGTATACTTGTCACTGCTTTCGAAGTTTGCTTCTGCGCGTTATAAAGATATTAAAAAAAAAAAAAAAATTTCTGTACAGGTACTAGAGAATTGCCCATAGAATATATGTTCAAAGTTTTGTAGCTTCCTGTAGTGTCGAAAAAAGTCGATTTTCCATTCCTTTTGAAAAACAGAGACATTCTCAGTTTACTCAGTGCTTCTGTAGGCAAATCCTTCGTCCCTTTTCGTCCATCTCCAATGGCAATCCGCGTGCGAGTATTTCAAATGTTTGCACAAAATTTGATAGACCAATTTTTGCGGCCAGGAGAATATTTACAATAGAGATTACTCAGATGGACATACTTAAATCGATTCAGAATTTCATGCTGACCAAGCACATATATACTTTGTCGGATCTCTAAAAACTTTTACTAGTCGTTGTGAAGGCATTAGAATGGGTTCGGTGTAATGAAGAGTAGTCCTTCCACACAAACTTAATATATGATTGTTTCGGAAGTGGTGTAGAGTACAATAACAAATCAAACTTATAACTACTTTTATAAAATAGAGCGTTACCCGAATCAGTTTCGTCCGAAACATTTCAGCGTGGCACGTTTCACAAAAATATTTTGAAAGTGCACCCTGTAAGTTAATTGCAAATATAAGTCGGCGGACTTCAAGCAGATGATGGTGTTCAATTTATTGTTTATATTTATTGAGGAAATAGTTTTGAAACAATGCGTGTAATAGAAGTTCGATCTATCTCCAGGGCTTTTGGGAATTGCACATACACGCCCACATTGCGCTCTTAGGACAAACAAACAAAACAACAATGCCACACCCAAAGCCTGGAAAAAAAAAACAAGGCAAATCATTATAACCTGGCAAGGCCGGTGTTAGATACCATACAGCATTTCATTGATTTCCGTGATAAAGCACCAAGCCCCTACCTTTCATGAAAATTCCAATATTATTTTTTATTAGAACCCTCGTAGGGAATGGAACCCAAAAAATAGATCTATGTAGTCCGAAGAGTAATTTCTACGTCAAATTATTATTACCAAAGAACTTTCACCAAAAAATATTTGAAGCTTGACAGTTTTCGTAGACAGGATGGGTCCGATCAAATCAAAAATTTTTCACACCAACCTAGAATATTGAAATTCTATTACTTAATAATTTCTGTCGAGGAATTTTGAAAATTACAATATTTTTTCATATATAACGGTTTTTAAAGAAAACAACATAATGTGCGAGGTCATCGAAAAAATGATTCGCCGCGAAACCATTTTAAATAGACTTTGTCCTTCAACCGAAACATGTCGACATATTAAACTTCATTATTATCTCAAAAATTGCTGGCTGTGGGTTGAACACAAGACATCAAGAGGGATGGATGGACGGGGAGGGACGCTTAAATCAGATAAGAAAGTACCTTTAAATCGATCGGTATAATAAAAGGTGAGTCTATTTCAAGTTCTTTTGCGTGTTGTACATATACGTCTATAGGCATAGAAACTATTTACTAACTTGCCGAGAAAGGAAACGTTTAGAAGAAACATGCATCTTTGTAATCAATGAGTGCTTGCTTATAAGTAGTAACAAAACACATTCTCATGCCATAACATTGGAACATTGAAAACCTAGCAAATTACCGATCATTTATACATTGGTTTTAATTGTAGCATGTCGAAGAAGTACGAAAAATGAATCTTCAGAATCGTTTCACATCAATGATTGAACATTTTTTTGATAATTGTAGGCGAGCGACAAAGGCGGTTGATCGAAATCGTCTTCAAACCGACCCTGTACACGGCCCTTTTCGATAAAAGGCATATATTTAACGCATTTCGGAAACTTTCCTCAGCGTTGAATGTTGTAAAGCCACCATTTAAAGCTAGTATAATGGCAATGCTTTGGAAAGGTTAAGCAAGTTATAAAATGCAACGAACACAACGAACACGACACGTTATAATGCGCAAGACTAAAAATGAACATAAATCAAAGCCAACTACAACAAAACCAGCAATAAAAGCAATTTGTG